TGCATCTTTATCAATGACTAAATCCTACACGTTTTCTCCTATAACTCACTAGATTTTTTTCTTAAACATAGATCTGTTTGACATCCAGCAGCCTCCAGCCCGCTATTCCGTATCCAGCCTCTCTGCAGCTGTATCTTCTGAAATTAGGCAGGGATTTCAGGAACTCTGATGATCTTTATGGGAGCAGATACTGTCTCCAGACGAACCGCTGGAGCACAGTTTTGCATCGCTAACATTGATGACACCCGCTGTACAAACAAGCCCAGAAGTAATTAGTTGGCAGAGAAGAAAGAAGTGCCCTGGCTTCAGCGTGCCAAGACAGTGGAGATCTAGGGATGGAGACCGGAGGCTGAGGGCGCAACCATTTATTGATGTCATTGGAGAAAAGCTTTTTTGATGTGCAGCGTCAAGCAGAAGCTAAGAAAGCATGTGTTAGGCACATTATTTGGTATTCGGAGGCTAATTCTGACTGTTCTGTAACCCTGGTGATTTTGGACAGTTCGCTGAACCTCCGTTGTAGTTTGTCCCTTGGTAAAGTAGAGGTGATTTTCTATTTCCTGGTTTTATTAGGATTCTGACATGATTTCAAGCTACAGACGTCTCTGAGATTCCTAGCTGGATGACGATGTAGAAATCCTGCGTGCTCGTGATGTTTATAAATGGCCGAGGTCTGGGCAGGTGCTGGGCGGAGAGAGAATTCTGTTTAGAAGGAGGCAGAAAAGAAGAATTAATATGAATCTGGACGAGGAAAAATAGAATAGCTGGAGCAAGGGTGTTCTGTAGGAAATGTAAACACAAAAATGTGCTAAGCAGACATTGTCTTTCTCCAGCATACATTTGGGAAATGCACATGATCCAGTTTAGAGGACTTTGTATTGCTATTCGTTTATTTTCAGGTCATTTATTTAAGTGTCATAAAGAACATTAGCTAGTGGTTAGGGACTACAATATCCATTATATCATTCCAATCATGTGGACAAGTTTATACTGTATATGATTTACAGTGGTCTTTCTGCTGTTAAAATTGTTATATCCAGGTACAACATTTTATATGTAGTTGCGTAGTAAAATTCAAGTGGCTGAACACAGACACGTCCTCCAATCAAAGTCCAACAGAATTAATGCTTTTACAGGAATACTGTGGGTTCCAGCTAGAGCAGTTTATGGCTTTCTGCCTACATCTTTTATCATGTCTCCACTGTTGTTAGTAAAATATACAGAACTACTTTATGCCAAAACAATGGAAGTTAATGCAGATAACTTGTTCCAAAGCTAACCATCAAATAAATCTCTCTTTTTTTTTTAAACTGTTAAGTGAAATGGTGTTCTAAAACTTTTAAAAATTGTCAAGATGATGAATACTGTGTGTGAAATACAAGTAAATACTGCAGAATTGATTGCACACACATGTCTTAAATAAAGGATATTAAATAGTTTATTCCAGAGAGAAATCGCTGAAGTTTTATCTAATATTATTAGAAATTCTGCAATGACAGATCAGATTTATGAGGACTGGAAACTAAGAAAAAAACCTCTTCAGAAGCAGAAATGGTGCATTGAATGGATGATTGGCTGAGAGCTTGAAGACGGACAGGAAGATACAGCATGCCTAGGTAGTCCTGCCTCTCACGCATCAAGTAATTCTTTTTCTGGGAATGATTTTTGAAAATCTGTTAGTTCACCTTGACTTGGTAAATCAGTTCTAAAAGAACTTCCTACCTTGGTCTTACCTGTAGTGTAAACAGCAGTGAAAGTTGGCTTGCACCTTCTCGGGTTTAAGGACTAGGTTAAACTGCATAGCATCGTATCTCTGTGTTCTGTTATCAATAGGAATAAGGAGCAGAAAGAAGAAGTAGCAGTACAGTATCCAGCAGCTGGCTCTTGAGGGCTTTATAAGATCAGGTGGCTTGCTCAATTATAGTTTTACACGTGTGGAAACTGCGACCCCAGTTAAACGTTCTGGCCAACTTCAGAAGCACTGGATGAATAACCGATTACCCAGGTACTTCACGTACTATTAGCCTGGACTAGCCGTACTGGACTAACACCAAGGCAGTCAGAGGCCCGAGCTGGTTTCAGGGCGAGCTGAACTGGAGATCCTGTGACAGCTGAGGACCTTCCGATAGTCATTGCAGAGGAGCTGTCAGTGTTTTGCAACGTGCAGGGATGGTTGCCTTGGTCTCGAAGTGGGACACTTTATGGGTAAAAAGACATTAAATCAGTGAAATAATAAAAAGGCCAAAGATGATTTTGTTGCTGAGGGGAAATGCTAGGCATGAAGAATTCCTGCTTCTGCTCTTAATTCCGTCACGGACTTTGTGATTTGGGCAAATCATTAAACCTATTTCTGCTTCAGCTTTTTTCCCCATGCGTAAAAATGTAAAAATATATGCTCACAGGGATGTGAAGTAGTTTAAGAAAGCTGCAAATGTTATAAAGTTTTGTTTGTTGCAAATGACAGCTGACTGTCTTTCTTGAATTGTTGCTTCCCCTCCACGCTTCTGAAGGACAAGACAAGAAATACACAGGTGATCTAAAACGTATAGTACCATCAGTGGACGTTTAAATTTGTGTCCTAACTAAACAGGAGACGCTACCGCCCAGTGCAAGGTGTGTATTTCAGCAGTTTAGACTGTCACTTGCTTGACTCAGTTCTACAAAACGTGATTCAGGGCACGAGTGTGGTCTCTATGTGGTGTTGGGCTGGGTGTGAACTTGCTATTTTTCTTTAGGTATCTCCTCAGAAAGTTTCAGGAGCGGTACACGTGGATTTTGATTTACAGAAGGCACTTGATAAAATTCTGCCTTAAAAGTTATTAGAAACAACAGCCCCTGCTGTAAGTGTAAAGGACCTTATTTGTAAAGGTGATTAAAGTTTGAGAATTGGCTGAGGGTGGCTAATTCATTGAGATGGAAATAGTTTAACTCCAAGACTCATTTGGGATCCTCTCTTGTTTATAATATACATAATTGATTTGGATGAGGCTATTGAATGTGATTGAACTTTTCTGATTACATCCACAGAGTAGATATGAGAAGTAATGGAGAGCGGTTAAAAAATGTAGATCTCGTAGGTGATTTGGTCAGTGAATAGAAAATAAAGCTTAATGTAGATGAACATAAAAATAATATGCCAAGGGGCAGCAACCCAAATCAGAGAATACATATTAAATGGAATAGCTATGCAGCGTACAGACTTAGGAAAGGGGATTTAGGGGTTATTGAGGAAAAATCCTCAAAGCAATTAGTCAAGTGTGTGACTGCAGTAAACCTCACAGAGTGTGTATGTGTTTGTATTTTGGTAATAATTTCAAAGAGAAGGGTCTATTTGTATTTAAAGATGTTGCGGAGTAAAGTGGTTGATTCCAGGATTTAAGAATATTTGTTTTGACAAAAAGCAAAAGAAGCAATTTGTTCCCTGTTCCAACGTGAACTCGTACTGTGATTGAGTAAAACTCTGAAGAACTGTGGAGGAGGTTGATAAAGTGGAGCAAGTGTTCACTTTAGTAAACAGTTCAATACACAGGCCATAGTGTGTAAACATTCAGAAATTAAAAGGAAACGGAAAATTCAAATGTCTCCACTTATCTGGAAGAACCATAATCACACTGAAAGGCATGTAAGTAAATAGTATTTGGGTAAATTAACTTGAGGTATAGAGTGAGGATCCCGTGATGGCCATGCATGTAGTCCTCTTTACGTTAATTTAGAGGAGTCGTGTTCGAACGAAGGACCTGTGCTTCCTGAGTATTTTCTGAGTGTGGACCATAATTCATTGTTACCTTAATGCGAACAGTATAACTGGATTTGCATAAAGTGTTACATTTCACGTATTACAAAATGAGTCAAAGTCTCCTGCATATAACTCTGTTCAGAAGTCTCCTGCTGGTAGGACGGGTCTTCTGCAGTGTGTACGAAGCTGAGGAGCCCGGAGCATCTCATACTGCCAGGGTTACCTTGGGAGAGTCATGTCATACCTCTGCCTCAGTTTCCCCATCTTCAGCCACGCTCATTACTCACACCTTCTGTGAAAAAACATGGGGGTCGTTGCTTTTATTCTGGCAAGGGACTTCTTTTGTGAAGGGCTGGAGCACCTCTGCTGCCTTATGCTTCTGCAGGTGCTGGGAGAAGCCAGCAGTGGTCTTGGCATGATGGCAGTTATGTACTTTTTGCTGATATGCAATGCTCCAGAGAGATACAATTTTCTAACTCATTAAATGTCTTGCCATGTCAATTTGTAAGCGCTGGAACAGAACTCGGGGTCCTGAGTGATGGGCAGGTCCACGTATCCTTGTTTTAGATGTCAGCCAGGAAGAGTATGAAGTGGACGTCAGCCTCCTCTGTAGATAATTAAATCCTTTTCTCTTCGGGATTTTTTTTTTTTAATAGTTTGTGATTCCTCTTTTTAAATGGCCATTATAGAAATCAGGCGATGATAGTTTGATTAAAAAAAGGTTCACTTCCATGCCGCAGGTGCATATTTGGCCCATGTTGTTAGACAGTACACGGTCTTTCCGTGTCAGCTTTCATTTACCTGTTATGAAATAATCTGCTGGTCTCCTCAGACAGGATTCATCGTATAGTGAACACCACTGCATTTGGCATTTATTTACAACCTTATCCATAGTCTCAGCAAAAATGCCAAGACTTTAATGGCTTAGGAGACCGAATTGCCTTTTTACTTCCCAAAGACGCTTGCTTTGTTTTAGTTCAGCAAGGCAATGGTTTTGTCCTCCGTGTTAAAATGCGTGTGCTGTAACCACATTGTGGCATAATGGAGGCCTTTGGATTCTCAGCCAGGGAATCTGACACATTTCGCAGGTACCACGTTCACTAAGTGTATGTAAAATGAAAGTCCTGAACGCCAGTGGAGTTGTTGCTTTGATGAAAGCTGCTAACCACGTTGTCTTTGCATTTAAAATTAATGAATTAAGACTCGCTGGGTGAAATTAAAATCCCACGTAAGCACTATATCAAATTTTTCTTCTTTATGCTCACAG